TAATTGCTGTATTCGCTGTGTTGAGCCACATCTTCGTTGTGTTGAGCCGCATCTTCGCTGGGTCTCGTGGCGTGCCTTTGCGGTACTACGATACATCGGGGGTACATACGAGGCTTGCGCTGTGATAAGTGTTGCTGGCCAAGGCTGCGGGGCTGCAGTTTTTCCGGGGAAAACAGGGGTGATAGGGCTGAAAGGAAGGCTGCTGCCGTAGTCAGGGGGTGTGACTGCAAAAGGGGGTTATGACTGCGGGTTGGGAGTCCGTCAGGAGAGTTGGGTTCAGCAGTTTGACCTCGGGTTGGCCAAGCTGTTACGCTAGCTGCCATTGCGGACCCTCAGGCGAATCAAGGAATCAAGGCCCTCTCCTTCGAGTCTGAGTGCACCCCTCCTGGATCTGAGAGTCTCAAATCTGTCTCCTTCTGCCCTTCTTACTCTAAGTCTAGTCTATTGGTTCTGAGAGGAAGGCGACAGGCGGGATTGCAACTCGTAATCCGTGCCAAGGCCTCTGTGAAAGGTTCGCCCCACCGATTGCGGGCAGGGAACTGAAAGGTCGTCGTGATCGATTTGGTTCAGGACTTGGACTAGATTCAGCTTGATCCCTTGAGGATCACCTTCTGTTATCACTGATAACATGTCGGTTGTCGATTCGTCGGCCTACGACTCAACTCCCATTCATCCTCCATACTCAACCTAAAAGGCTTTAGCCCCGGTGATTTTTATTGTTTTATTAAGGTTTTCACCAGGACTTTTATTGAATGGCCATTTAACAAAGGTACTGAGTATTTAATTATAGTTGGTTGGACAAAGGCTGGGGCTTGCATGGCTAAAGCAAGGGGTATGAGTATAGGGATCGGTTGGAGTTGATTCCGTGTAGTGCGTGGATTTTTGTTCTTCCTCTTTGATGTGATTGCAGGTATGTTCTGTAGTTCGGATTTGGATTTGACCGCCTGCGATCACACGTATACATATGGCTGTGAGAAGTCCCGTTGTGATTGTGAGAAGTGATCGTCACATACCTATTTCCCCTATATATACTTGTACTTATGTTGGGTGTTCGCGTGGCCTGAGTAGGCCACATTTAACGGTAAAAATTGGGGTTGGGGTCGAGAAAAGAAAGAAACCCCCCTCTATATTGTTGTATGCATCTTAGGGATTTCTTAGTCGGACGTTAGTCCTGGGCCTGGATTCGAGGTCCTTGTCCAGGACATCCCAGACCCTAGACTCCGCATGGAAGGAATCTCCCCTCGTGCAGAGCCTATTTTCCCTGCCTGCCGAGACACTCAGCCTAAAAGCCTGAGGTGCCGCGGCGGCCGCACGACTATTCCTTCAGCCGTTCAATATCGTGAAGGGGCAAGCCTTCACGATACTTCGAGTCTGACACTTGAGTGTGATAAGCAGTACTCGGATCCACGAGGGATCGCTTGATTATGGGCACTACATAGTACGCCATCATTGCGACTGCTTGCGTATGATTGCATCGCTAGTCGATATGAGTAGGCCCAGCGCCCGCGCGCGTCGCCCGTTCAATTTTCGTGTCAGAAGGTTATGGGATGGCTACTAAGGGACTAGGAGTGTTGTCGCGTTGTTCGTCCTGTGTCGTTTTGTGTGCGTATGTGTGTGTGTTTTATCTTTGTGTTTGCTAGAGTAGTGTGCGTGTGGTGAGAGGGATACGTCCTACTCGACCGGCGTCGAGTCGCGCTTGGGACTTCAGCCCCCCCAAGATGTCGGTTCGCGTACGGGTCCGATAGGCGTGATACTGCGCGTACCCCCTATGCTACACCGAACGAGAAACGCCCACGGCTGGTCCACCTCTGTGATTGCAACTGATTAGCTTTCGTACTGTGGACTAGTTGCTCGGCCGGGATACGCCCACCGAAGGGAGGTGACAACTCCCGTAAGGTGGAGGTAAGTCGTGCCTCGCGTAGGCCCTATCCTGTCGTAGGGGCTCGCGAGAGGTATGGCTGGCGCACTCGGCCGGAGCGGCTTTCGAAAGCTCCAAGTGTGCTTTTCGCGGAAGAAAGAGATTGACTCCTGCGTGACGCGGTCGGGAGAGTCCCGCGCCGCCGCGTGCGGTGTCGGACCGATGCGCTCGACACCGCTTCAGCGGCAGACGGGTGTGTGGGCACTTGGAGGCGTTGGTGCTGAACCACACGAACGTGGCCAACCTTGCATTTTCTATTATATTGTCTATCTATATTTTTTTGTTATGGATGGTTTGTTATGATTTGTGGAGGAAATGAGAGAGAGAATTTGGGGTGCTTTAACAACACACGCACAGGTGACACAGCCAAAGAGAGAACAAAAGGACAGATACACAATTCCACCCCTGGCACGGCTATGGTACTATGGGGGCTGGCCGGTCACAGTATTATGTGCCCTGCGTCATGCTACGTGGGTTGGACAATACACATCGCACTGGGTGGCACCATGTGAAGCTGACAGTTAATCCTCCACTGCGGGGTACCAACAAACTCCCACCAAAACAAAAAAAAACAAAAAAACAACAAAAAAAAAAAATCGACGCTCCCCAGAATTCCAAAAAAAAAAAAAAAAAAAAAAAAAAAATGGACGGGTTGGCTCGTACCACATGGACTGCATTGTACCATGTGGACTGGGTGGTACTACGAGGGATGCGGGTTGGGTGGTACTATGTGGGGTTTGTCATACTATGTGGACTGGGTGGTACTATGTGGGCAGGGTGGCATTATGTGGCCAGGGGATACTAAGTGGGTTGGTTGGCACCATGTCGAGTGGAGCATACTCCCTGGACTGGTTGATCCTATGTGGCCCAGGTGATGATACTACGTGGTTCGGGTGGTAGTACGTGGGGTGGGTCATAGTATGTGGACTGGATGGAAGTACGCAAGCTGGCGAGTACAGTGGGGTAGCGTGGGCTATCGGTACAAAGGACCCCAAAAAACTCAAAAAAGAAAAAAGAAAAGAAAAAGAAAAGAAAAAGAAAAGAAAAAGAAAAGAAAAAGCAAGCCCATGTGGGGCTGGCAGACAGGGAAGAGCAAATGAAGCAATACCATCATACCAATCTCAGATTACTCCGTCAGAATGGGCTATAAGATGTTACTGGCGACAAAAGACCCAGAACCAGTCATCAAGCACCGATGGAGAAGATTGATAGGGGATGAGGGCAATCAAATCTCCAAAATACCATGCAAGGAATTCAAATCAATTTGCGCAGTCAAGGTGAGAAGTCTTCAATGGCTGACCAATAACGCTGCCCTGCCTGTCAATCAATGGCTAGATATCAGAAGAAAACACACTGACCCCAACAGCTTGGACTTATGTGTTGTCCGTTCAGACCAAGAACAAGAGGACATAATCCACTGTCTAATTAGATGTAAAGGGGCCACAGAACTGTGGGCCAGAGCCTCGGACCCTTGGGACCATCTATTGTCCCCACCCAACTCCTCCTCTGGACTAACATCTGCGAGGCTACGCCCGCTTAGCCCCTACGGGGCCCTATCTGCAACAAGGTCGGCCGCCCTAAGTGAAGGCAGGCACGACAGGCCCTTGGGGCCTCATTCTTCAGGGTACCCCGCAATGGGGAAATTCAGACAGTTGCATTGCGCCAGTTGGTTGAATGAATCCAGGCCCTGGGCCGCCTGTGTAAATGAATGAGAAGCAGGCCCTGGGCTGGATACGGGTACCAGGCCAAACACAGGCCGAAAGCAGTTGGGCGCATGCAACCACATCAGGCCCCAGGCCTGCTCCCTTCGTGACTGGGCCTGTGCCTACCGGGGCCTACCGGAAGTTTCCTGGACTGGACGCAGGCAGGCCACTTCGATATAGGGAAGGGCCTGCCTCCTCATTCGGCATTCGGGTGCTGGCTGCATGCTGCGTGAGCGCTGCTGCGCAATCCGCTGGCTGGCTGACACTCACGCTCTCACGGGCGAGTAGGAGGGAGCACGCAGCCATAGCCAAGCTGCGCTGCTGTATGCTAGGTGAAGCGCAGGGTGGTCCTTGGGGTGCTAGTGGCATCTGTGCGGTGTGGATCGGGGTTGTGAGTGTTACGAGAGACATACCTGGTGCTGAAGCGTGCGACATTGGTCGCCATATGCTCGTACTTCGGGAAYSCTGTTGATGTCATCATTMTGCTTCGTAGTATAGGCTAGATAGGATCTGCCACCCGTAGTCTGGGCGCCGAGCGCCAATAGGATATCAACTCTGGTTCGTAGTTGATGATGATGGGACTACTTCAGCATTGTCAATTTTGAACTCTTGGTGTGTTCTTATTTGGTGTATCCCGTGATGCCAGTCTGCTGTGGTTCGAGGACAAGACTATCTGGGCTCATATGTATGATGCTGTTTGATTGCCAAAGTTCGCTAATACTCATCTTCCTTGCAATTTGGTATCGGAGCTGTGGTACGATTGCGCTCATCTGGCGCTTGTCTTCTGCCCTATACGATACATACATGCGGTCTGCTGGGAGAGTTTGGTCGTAAGTGGTGTGTAGTGAGGAGGGTGGAGACGAGTGTGAAGGCGACCCAGGTGGTGAGGGGCATCGCCTGGAAGGCTAAGGTGTGGATATTGGGTGTTCGCAGTGTGATGAAAACTATCTGTTGGGTGATTGAGGCTGAGGTGGAACGGCGAAACGCAGGTTGTGCCGATGCTGTGACTGGTCATCGCAATCATCTTCAGGTCATCTGGTGAGATTATCTCTGTGGTTGGGGGCAGCATGAATGAGGTACGTTGCTCTTAACCTTATCTACCCTCTTCATCACTTCTTACCGTGAGGTTGTGAGTTCTGTCTTGAGAGTCCTCTCATCGTGAGGTGTCGTGTGCGCTCAACCTTGAGAGTCGTGATTGTTCACGTGAAGCATCTGGGGGAAGACGGRCGGAGCTTCTTGAAGGGCCCTRGACGAAGCACTGGGTCACGGTCACCATGCCAACCCATAGTATTGACAATAGGAACCTCACTTACCTGTTGACCCCAAATGAGATCTGTTCTGATAGCCACCACTAATTAGTTGGTCTGTGTACTAAGCTGCGGTAGGCATCTAGAATGATCTAGTGTGGACAGTGCACAGTGCTGTAGCCTATGAGCGACGTGGAGGACACCAGAGAGGACGATCGCAGGACTTTACGATCGGCTAAAGGACCGGTATCCCATGTGTCTTTAGGACCGGAGGGTGATAGGAAACTGTTCCACCGACAAAGAGAAAGGAGAGCTAGAGCAGCCGAGGCCAGCAGGGCTTTTGCTAGAAAGGCCAGTGCTATAGCAGCCATGGCTACCACAACCATGAGCACGTCTGCGCAGCAGACTTCCCAAGCCGGAAGTTCAGGTACCGCCGGGTCCACGGTCGTGCAGACCGTGAGTCAGTCCACTGGCTTAATGGCAAGCCAGCCCGCGGTGTTGTCCCCAGAGGATGTCGCCATCCAGCAGGCATCCCTGCAAGAGGCACAGCTACAACAGGCATTAGGAAAGATAAAAAGGGAGAAAGAGATAATGATTAGAAGAAGAGCCAGAATGCAACAGAGAGGGACAGACATAGAGGAGTTAGAGACGATGGACCTGACGCATATGGATGAGGATGTGAAGGTAGTTAGGAGGGCCCTGGTAGGCGTAATTGAGATGCAGGAGCATCAAACTACCCTTCTTCAGGACATTCAACAAAGCCTAGCCGTATTGGCAGGGCGTGCTCAGGCAGCACCATCACCAGCAGGGCCTGGTGCCTGGTCAGTGCCATATCCTCCTCTTTCTGTTCCACCGGTGACTAGGGTATCCCCATATGTAGCCCCTTCATCGATTGCTATCGTTTCCCTGGGCATGCCTCTGTCAGGAGGGGTAACAGCAGGGAGTAGTTTGCAGGTTCCTGTTCAGACAGTGTTTACTCCAAGTCCGTCACAGGTTGCAGTCACCACGCAGCCTGCTGTCTCGCAGTTAGTGCAACCTCAGGGCACACAGCCCCAGCAGCTGGCACAACAACCTGTATCGCCGGGTCCACAGCCCGGGTTGGTACAGGGACCGGGACAAAGTCAGTGAGTTCCAAAGACGGCCATCGCCGCTCCCAAACCTTTTACAGGAGACAAGAGAGGCGAAGACCTCGACACTTGGTTGAGGGCGGTGCCAGTCTACGTCAGGTGTAAACTCACCTTGCCACACGAAGAAGTGCTTGTGGCTGCTTCCTACCTGGAGGGTAGTGCAGCGAGATGGTTGAGTGGGTTAGTGCAACTCCAGGGGTACGATCATGACTTTCGCTCTTGCGCAGCCTCTCAAAAATTGGAGGACTTCCTGAAAATGGTGGAAGACAGGTGGCATGATCCGCAGGAGGCTCAAAAGGTCACTGACGCGATTCTGACACTGCACACGCGGCAGTTTAAGTCAGTAAGGGATGCCACCGACGCTGTAGAGCGTTTGATTTGTGTTCCAGGGGTACGCTATGACCCCCAGGTCCTGCTAACTTCGTACCTGAGGACCTTATCTCTGCCGCTCAGGAACCAATTGGCGAAAGAGGCCAACATTAATATGCACAATTTTCCTTCGTTCAGCAAGGTGGCCCTAGACCTAGAAGCAAAGATAGGACATGGACAGGCACCCACTACGGAAGGGAGAAAGAAGACACTGCCTCCCAACTGGAAGGCGAAAGGTCGCATTATGTTTGTCGACAACGATGGATCAACCATCGAGTTGGACGGCAACTTCCAGGAGGGAGTAGGTGCAGAGGCAGGCAGCGATACTTCAGAGGGTGGAGTAGTCGGCACCGTAACCCAACAAAAAGGTAAAGGGACCGGTAGACGCCCTAGGGGATCCCGATCGAAGAGTCAAACAGACCCTAATGCTCTTCCATGGGAGAAAGCGGGTCTAGTTGAGGACGTGTCGAGAGATCGGTGGGCACGACAAGCTTGTATCAAGTGTGGCCAATATGGCCATAACATGTACAAGTGTCGCAATAGGAAGGTCCCCGAGAAGATCCCGCCCACTATGGGGTCGGCAGTAGGATCCTCTCAAACCGTTGGTAGCAACGTTGCTAGTTCTTCAAGCAGTGCTCCGGGAAACACGTCGGGCCAGTAGGGATAGTAGCTGTTCCTACTAAGGTCGCGATGGTGGATTCACCCTCACATTCGCGAGAGATGGCCCAAGCTACAGACTCTTCAGTCGTCCCGCAAACACATTCAGACTCATCGACCCTCTGTTCGATGAATGTGTTTGAATCCTTAGAGGAGCTAGAGCATGAGTGGTCTAGATCAGATCCACTAGCTTCTTGGACGGCGTTAGTTAAAACCCCTAGGAGTAAAATGTTTGTCAGCGAGGTAGTCATAGGAGGCCGCAAGGCCGGGGCCTATTATGACACTTGCTCGACTAAAAACATTATGAGCCGCGCGTGCGTTGAGAGGCTGCGCTTACAGGGGCAAGTGCAGCGCCTGAGTCGACCTGTGGAGTYGACCTGTGCCAACAAACAGCGTATGGTAGTTAATGACTACCTCCATGATGTAGAGTGTGTTTTCCCGTACGCGGGAGGGGACTTGAGACATCGTGTCTCGTTCCTGGTCAGTGACGAGCTCCCAATGGACA